TCTTTCTTTCTTTCTTTCTTTCTTTCTTTCTTTCTTTCTTTCTTTCTCCCTTTCCTCCCTCCCTCCCTCTTTCTCCTCTCCCTCCCATTTACTTTCTTTCTCCCTTCCTTCCTTTCCTTCCTTCCTTCCTTCCTTCCTTCCTTCCTTCCTTCCTTCCTTCCTTCCTTCCTTCCTTCTTTCTTTTCTTTTCTTTTCTTTTCTTTTCTTTCTTTCTCTTCCCTAGAGCCATGAAGACCTGGCTATTCTCTTGTGCTCTGAACCAGGATGGTAGATGAGCCCACTGTGATGTGTGTATAGAATATGTTTTTATCACTAATCTCAATTATGTATCAATTATGTCTTCAACTGTTAAAGATTTTTTTTGTTTGCATTGCATTTATTCTTTTTTAAGTTTTATTTTGTACTCTGTCTAATGTATAAAATTGTGAGAGGGATGGCCTTATAATTCTTTTAAATTCTTTTAAATTAATAATTCATCCCCATCACATTAATAGCTCTCCTTAAAACTCTCCATGGGCTTCAGAAAAATACATGGGTAATACAAGAAGGCAGAAAAGCACTACAGACTAAGTTGGATTTGTAATGTTATCTGAGTCTTGAGATAAATCTGTTAAATTACTATCTGTTTTTAACTGCTATTTGCTCATGAATATAGAACAGAAAGCAAGACAATAACGTTATCTGATGTTACAAAAGACAGCTAACTTTATTGCGTACATTGGCTTATCTCTTCTAATATTAAAGAGGCAATTCAGTTCCAGAACTTAAAAAGAATTTGAATACAGCAATCATTGAGAAGCTTGTACCACATGTAGCTATCAGCTGCTGTCCTTGAGTTTTCAAACAAGGCTATTTTGGATCAAATTATTATTATTTTGCTTTGAAGAAATAACACATTCTATCATGCTAGGACAGTCTTTTACAACCAATTTCCCTCCAGTTTTAATGACATGCTAAGTTACCTCCAACCGTCATTAGCCAGGGAATAATAGCTCAAAACTATGAAAGGCTGTTAGACTGGGAAAAGTTGTTGTAGGGCATTGGGCTGTTCCAGCTGTTGTTCTGGTCACTTAGATGGTCAGTGCTTGAGAAGTGTTTCTATGATATTTTAAGGTAGACACACTACTTGTGATTTTGCTTGATTTCTTATGGACCCATATAAAAATGCACAAATGACCATTCACTTTTCCTGGAGAGAAAAGTTCTCCCAGGATGGGCTCCAGCACAAGTCCACAATCTTGGAAGAATAAACCTCCCAGTGACCAACTCAGATTGGATTCTGCCACAAATGATCATTTTCTGGTTTTTTTTGGTATTGCTTTTACAGAGATTCACTTCTCAGCACAGGACAGGAACAATTTTTTAAAGCAATGAATATCACTATTGTGTCATTTATCATGTGATATTATATCATTATAGAAGATCTCTGTCAGGTTTCCAAGTGATGGAATTCATTTTAAAAGAAAAGAACAAACTCCATCTTCCAAGACAAATTCTTTTATTTAGGAAAGCATCAAATTGGCAAAGTCCATGGTAATTCCGGATCTGACACAACCCGGAATTACCCCACAATATTAAAAGTTAGAAACAACCCCCCAAAAGTCACATTCTCCAATAGGAATAATTCAACGTTGCTTGATGTCATAAATCTCCACCTCAAGGGGCCCAAGCACGGACAGCTCAGCTCATTTCCCACGAGAAGGAGAATCACCTAGCCAAAATAACTGTTTATCTCCACTCCTCCTCTCTTAGTAATGTGACAAGCCCGAAACCCTTCCCCCATGATTGCCAAAGAGAAAGTAAGAAAAAGAATATATACTAAGCCTAACTAAAATAGCTACACATATGTCAATTTCGGGCTTAACAATCTCTCTTGCGCCCCATTTCTGTACATTACTGGAAGTAGCATTGAAATTTGAAACAAGACTGACAGAGTTTTGTTTTAATTGTTACTAATTGTAAAGCATTCTTACGTGCTACTACATGTTCCCTTCTTATGATTAAGTTTTGTCTTTCTTTTGTAGTGTGTGATCCTGTGATGGGTGACAAATGGAGCGGGGAAGGCTGTATGGTTGGTAATCCATTATGAACTTGGCCCATCTTCATAAACAAATGTATTATGCCAAAGACTAAACTGCTTTTGAACAGAAAGCTAATCCTGAGTTTTCATGAATGGACAGAAAAATTAGACTGCTTGAAGCATGGCTGCATAATGAGTGCTTTCTTAAAAATCTATTTATTGGAAGTGGCTTGAGTAATTTTGAGTTATTTCCCCTATGCAACTCTGACCTTTTTACAATTTTGCATTTTAACGTTTACCTTTTTACAATTTTGCATTTTAACGTGTGGCTGTGCAAATATCTAGAGCAGGGGTCCCCAACCACCGGGCCGCGGACCGGTCCCGGTCCGTGGAACATTTCCTACCGGGCCACCGGTTTGCTGGGTGCCGCTGTCTTGTTTGACGACGAAAGTGCTTCCGGGGGAGCTTTTCCGGTTGGAAAGCGGCATTTGGGTCCTGAAGGAATCCTCGCGCCTTAGTTTCGAAGGGGGGGGCAGCTTCGAACGAAACTAAGGCGCGAGGATTCTTTCAGCACCCAAGGCAAGGCGAGCCGAGCGACTGTCCTGAAGCCGTCCCGAAGCGAAGCCCATCGACAAAGGTACCAAGGAGGAGTTGAAGGTGGCGGTGAGAAGCGGGGGACGGCTGGCTGGCTGGCTGGCTGGTCGCTCGGCTCGCCTTGCCTTGTCATGCGTGCTGATGCCGGTACCGGGCCGCGGATCATTTTGTGATGCCAGTACCAGGCCGCGGCACAAAAAAGGTTGAGGGCCACTGATCTAGAGTATTGCTACTATGCACTCATATCTATACAATTCATACATTTTTTGCAAATATGACCTGAAAGAGCCGAACCATAGATACCTGAAGATTAGGAGACTGTATTGTTTAGAGCTTTTACAGCCTAGTGTTAGGGATTGTCAACGTTTGTTTTAACATTCCTTCACATGGAAATTTTGTAAATGTACTTTGCTTATGAGTCTCAGCTATCAGTTAATTGAGAGGAACTGTGTTTATATTTGAACCCTTTTTACTTTCCTAGAATGAACTGCCTAATCTTCTAAAATTATTATAACTTCCTTTGTTTTTCAGTATGTTCCAGAGGACCTCTTTCCAGTGTATAAGGATAACGTGGTGCCTGTAGCAGATATAATAACACCAAATCAGTTTGAAGCTGAGTGAGTGCTGTTACAAATTTTCCATAGAGATTGGGTTTTTTTTTCATTGTTCAGCAATGAATAGCAAAAAAAACCAAACTTTTAAAAATGTATCAACTCAGTTGTTGATTTAAAAATAGTAAATTAGTGTCTCTTTAAAGGACACGAATACATTTTTCTCTTCTTTTCTGGATAGTTTTTTTTAAACTATGTGAAGGAAATTCAAAAACTTTTATGCAGTAAAACTGTTAATCCTCTTCCTTGCATTCAAGCTAAGATAAAAAAATATTAAAGCTATTATGCATTTATGTTCTTCAAAAAATGCATTTTTGAAAACTACTGTTGCCAGTTGCACAGTGTGTAAATAATGTAATGTGTAGTTTTATCCTTAATAGGAGTGCTAACTAAGAAGATTGGGAGGATCTACTTTTTCATATAGATATGAATATTGGAATGTCTACATCAGTGGCTTTTTTGGGGGGCCAAAATGTTTCAAAACATTTCATTAATCAAAAATTTATTCAGAAACAAATTAGACCTCATCTCATTGGCCCAACAAAAAAATAGAGGGGTGGTGTTATATGCTAAAGAAAAGATTGCGGCTAAACAAATCTATAAGGATAAAGAAGGGAGGATTCTGATTGTAGAACTAGGAATAAATCACAAAAAAGTAGCAATCATAGAAATTTATGCCCTGAATGGAGGACAAGAGCAGTTTCATAGAACACTATAAAACATAATTCACAATATAGAGCAATGGTCCCCAACCTTTTTTGTACCAGGGACCAGTTTCAAGCACAAACACTTTTTCAAGGACCGGGGAGGTGGGGGGAAGAATCCGAGTTTGGTGGTTTGCTTGCAGACGTTTCATTACCTGACTAGGTAACATCTGATGTTACCTAGTCAGGTAATAAAACGTCTGCCAGCAAACCACCAAGTTCAGGGAACGCCTCGGCCCTGCCTCCCTCAGCCCCATCCCTCAGGTGTCTCCATCCCTCAGGTGTCTCCCTCCCTCCCTCAGGTGTCTGCCTCGTTCCTCTCTCAGTCGCTCTCTCGCTGCTCCACCAGCCCAGGAAGAAACTGCTTCAAAGAAGCCGGGGTGGTGGTGGCTTTTCCTGTCGCCGCAGCTCCTCCGAAGCGCCCGTTTACCCCCACCCCGCCCGCCCGCGCGCGGTTCAACCCAGTGCTCCGTTCTGCCTGCCTGCCTTCGTTTCGGAGCAGCTTCGGCTGATAAAAAGAGGCGAATAGTTATTATTCTCAGCCGAAGCTGCTCCCAAACAACCACACAGGCAGGCAGGCAGAACGGAGCACTGAACTGAACCACGCGCGGGCGGGCGGGGTGGGGGTGAACGGGCGCTTCGGAGGAGCTGCGGCGACAGGAAAAGCCACACCCCCCCCCCGGCTTCTTTGAAGCAGTTTCTTCCTGGGCTGGTGGAGGAGCGAGAGAGCGACTGAGAGAGGAACGAGGCGGGAGGAAACCGAAGCTGCTGAGCCAGAGAGCAGGACAGGCTTCGGTTGCTTCCTCCCTCCCCTTCTTTCATTTGTGTCCTTGATCCCCGATCCCAGCAGCATTCACTGAAGGCGAAGAAAGCCGCCAGTTTTTTTTATTTTTTATTATTTGCGGCCCGGTACAGAGTGCTCCACGGACCGGTACCGGTCCGCGGTCCGGTGGTTGAGGACCCCTGATATAGAGTATGATGAGATTTGTTTATTAGAGGACTTTAATGCAATCACAGTTAAAAAAATAGACTGCAAAAGTAATAACATAAGGAAAGGAACAAGAAGAACATTACCAAAAAAACTTCTTTAAAATGGCAGAGGAACTAAATATCCAAGACATCTGGAGAGAAAGAAATCCGAAGGAAAACCAATACATTTACTATTCATATAGACACTGCTCATGATCCAGAATTGATATGGTGTGGATGTCAACGGAATTCAACACAGAAGTAAAAGAAGTAGAAATTGAGATGAATCCCTGGACCGACCCCAACTCTATTAAATTTAGCTGGAAAGGACAAAGCAAAACTCCTAGATGGACACTAAAAAATGCGATCTTAAAGGAGAAAGATTTTACATTAAAGATGGAGAAAGAGCTAGGCCTCTTCTTCAAGGAAAATAAAGAAGAAAATACATTCCTGCAAAATCTTTGGGACACAGCGAAGGCATACATGAGAGGGGTGGCTATAATCATATATGGCAAAAAAAAAAAAAGGAAAAAAAAGACAGAAAACCCTAGAAGATGAATATAAAGGTTTGGAAATGAACCTCCAGAAAGAACCAAAAAAGAAAAATTTAAAATAACTAATGGATTTAATTAAACATAAACTAAATGTCCCAGAGAAAGAAGATCTAGCACAATTAAAAAGAACAAAACAAAACTTTTTCAAGAATGCAAATTAACCAGGGACATGGCTAGCATATAAGTTGAAAAAGCAGAAAAAAAAAGATGGATTGGCAAACTACAGAATGAATTAGGGAAGATATGCTACCAGGATGAGGAAAATAAGAAGATAATTCAGGAGTTCTACAAGAAATTATATAATGAAAACAACCGTAACCCAGATGAAAAAGTGATACAATGCCTAAAGAAAGCGGAGTTATCAAAAATTACAGAGAAGATAAAAAATATGTTGAATGAAGAGGTTAGGATGTCAGAAGTAATTTCAGCAATAAATAAACAACAAAACAATAAAACACAGGGACCAGACGGACTCCCATTAGAACTATATAAAGGCCAACAAGAAATATTAGGACTAACTCTACTTGGAAGTATTTAATGCGGTTCTAGATGAGGCGAAGATATAACGGATGGAAGCAAATATCATATTGATACCTAAAGAAAATACAGACCAGGCACTAATTAAAAACTATAGACCAATACCCCTTTTAAATTCAGACTATAAGATATTCACATCGAAAATAGCTGAACGACTAAAAAAATTCTTAAATGATTTCATACATGAGGATCAAAATGTTTTTTTTATCAAAAAGGCAAATTAAAAATAACATAAGAATAATATTAGACACCTTAGAATTCTATGAATTACATAGCGGAAGACAAGTAGCACTACTTTTCTTGGATGCCCAAAAAGCATTCAACAATGTTAAATGGGAATTCATGTTACAGCAACTTAAATATATGAACTTTGGAGAAATTCAATTTCTGCGATATATTCCAATCAAGAAGCTAAAATAATAATAAACGGAGAGATGACAAAAACATTTAAAATACAGAAAGGAACGAGACAAGGATGCCCATTATCCCCGCTATTATTCATACTAACCCTGGAAGTGTTAACAAGGAGAATCAGGAAAGAAACACAAATAAAAGGGGCGTTGGTCCTATCTGAATGCTTCTTTTCGGGGAGCCAAAGGGAGAATCCAGGATGGGGTAGTCTCTAGTCTCCTAGCTCTGCAGACCAAGTTGAAAAACTGAGGACACACCCCCTGGTAATGGTCCCCAGTTCTGAACGACATCAAAGTGAATTCAGCTGCTCCTCGTCCTCAAACAGATAGCTCAGTTGATACTGCGAAAAAAGGGACATTTCCTCCCTATTCCAACCTGACAGAATACAGGGTGGGACTGGATTCTCCCTTCGGCTCCCCGAGAAGCGTTCAGGTAAGACCAACGCCCCTTCTCCACTGAGCCTAAGGGAGAATCCAGGATGGGACATACCAAAGCTGGCTGATGGCTGTCCTACGGATGGGATCTGGATTGGTCAGAGGTCCCCACCTCTACATGCACACCCTGCAGGACTCGTCTTCCAAAAGACGCCTCCGCTGAGGCCAAGGAGTCAATTTTGTAATGTCTTATGAATGGGGTCACCAATGACCAGGTCGCAGCTCTACAAAATGTCCAGAATCGATGCCTGCATTGCCCAGGCTGCGGTGGTCACTGCACTTCTGGTTGAGTGTGCTGTGATTCTCCTGGGTACAGGAAGGCTCTGTAACTCATAGGCCTTTGCAATGCAGGCTGTGAGCCAGCGAGCTACTGTGGAAGGTGTCACCCTGCGACCCAAAGTTGACAGCTGAAAGGAAACAAACAGGGCTTCCATCCTCCTAAGACAAGTTCTTTTAATGTAAATACGAGGGCCCTCCTGACGTCCAAGGTGTGCCATTTTCTCTCCAGTGCATGGGTAGGCTCAGGAAAGAAGTTAGGCAAAATCAACTCCTGTGAACGATGGAATAAGGAGTTCACCTTGGGCAGAAAGGTAGGGTCCAACCGCAGAACCACCCTGTCTGCATGGAATACGCACAGATTCTTCCTGATGGATAAGGCTGCCAACTCGAAATACGCCTGGCCGGGGTAATGGCCACCAAGAATGACACCTTGCATGTGAGAAGGCGAAGGCAGACTTTACGCAAAGGTTCAAATGGGGGAGAAGTCAGTGCATGCAGGACCTTAGGCAAATCCCAGGTGGGGTAGTGGTGGACCACTGGTGGCCTCAAATTCGTGGCTCCCCTAAGGAAGGCTTTCACCCAAGGGTGTTGGGCCAGAGTAGTAGAGCCCTTGACCGAAATCACCGAGGCCAAGGCCGCCACCTGTCTCTTCAAGGTATTGGGGGCAAGACCTCTATCCAACCTGTCCTGCAGGAACTCTAATATCTTTGCAACAGAAACAACAGTGGTTCCAATTGGTGACTAGTGCACCAACTGCAGAAAATCTTCCACGTTGCATTATATATCCTGGTCATGGAAAGTCTTCTGGCCACCTGGATTGTCTGAATGACCTTTGTGGAAAACTACTCCCATTTCAGGATCCCCCACTCAAGCGCCAGATGGTCAACCAAAACCAGGCTGGATCTGGGTGCTCGATTGGGCCCTGGCTGAGGGAGATCTTGTGCAGGGGAATTCTCCAGAGTCTGGTGACTGACAAGCCCACCAGGTCAGCGAACCAGGGACGCCTGGGCCAGTAAGGGGCTACCAACAGAACTTCCGCCCTTTCTATCAGTACTTTCCTGATTGCCCCTGGAATCGGGAAGGGGGGAAGGCATACAATAGTCCCTGGGGCCACCTGC